TCCTCTAAAATTCCAGGGGCAAATAATGGAGGTACTTATCTAGACAGTTAGCTAAGTGTATCAACCCTGCCATTCCATGCATGCCTAAATGTAAAACACAGAAGTAAAAACATAAAGATGATGTGTTGATTTTCCTGAAAAGCACATTTGGCCACCCCTCTCCTCACTGGTTTTGTTGTCTGGCTCAGTGAACTTCTGAGCCTCCTGCTGCACAGAAAAAAAATATGTTTAATTTTATACACAGAAAATGGAGAACTACACAAAATAAATTTAACTTGTGGAATACCCTTTAACTTTGCAGGGATCTTTTTCCTGAGGAAGATTACAAAAACACTGTTGGCAATATCTGGTACTGTCCACAAAAAATTTGCTGTGCCAGTCTGTGAAGGCTGTGGAGATGAAAAAAAGAGAGGGAGACTGATACATCATTAAAACAAATGGGTTTGGACCTTGGCCTCAGAACTGATCAGAAACAGAAAATGGGCTGCTGTATTAAATGCATTCCCTTCAGGGTTTACCCACAAGAAATACATTTTTCCTGGAAAAAGCTGCTAAGCAGCTGGCAGAGAAAGCCAAGTGTTAAGCTCTCTAAGAGAGACTGACCACGTCTCTGGTCAGTCTGGTAGAAAGGGCTCAGCCAGGTGTAAAAGCAGTTTTTCCACTATTTGCTTTCCCACATACTTTCTTCTTCACAAAATTCAGAGCATTCCCCTGTTTTGATGGATTTAAACAAAAGTTAACTAAATTTTTTGTCACAACATTATCCACTGTGGAGAACAGATAAGAATGAATGGAGATCAATATTTACCTTGAGCTACAACCTGTGATTTTGGTTAATTTGAATGTAAAACATCTTTCAGAGGGGAAAGAATTTATTATCATTGCTTGTGTTCATGAAAATTTTGAAGAATATGCTATCTTGAGAATATAAATTTCCCTTCAGTGCTTTTCCTGGAAAAATAGGGCCTCCTACACATTCTGAAAGTTAACTGGGACAGAGGGGAAAAATTCCAAGAATTTTACATAGCAATTGAAAATGTGGTCATGCTTTGTCACTTGTAGAAAGAAGACAAGATATAGAAGAAAATCAATGCCAGAAATTTTTAGTTTTGTGACAGAGGCAGGTTCACTGCTGAATTAACAAGGTAAAAAAGAACAGGGTTAAAAAGTATTAAAATCAGACCTGTTTCTATCTAGACTTGCAGGACAACCTGTTAAAATAACAGCAGCACTGCTTCATATTTCAGTTTTGCAATAGGACCAGCAGAGCTGGAAGCTTGCTGTGGTGCTTGGGTCTTTCTTAACCTACTAGCTTGATGTGCTCCTAAGAGCAGAAGCCAGCCTGAAACACTTGCCTGATGACATTAGAAAGTCTTTTTTTTAAAAAAAAGTATTCAACCTCTAGCCCAGTGACACAAGCACATGCAGCACAGCCATGTGCACCCTGAACTTCAGGGCAGACTCTACCACACACGTCTGTCATGCCACTTTCACATAGTCACAACTGTGTTAAATCAAAGGCAACTGATGTCACTGCTAAAAGGCTGAGCAGCCCCACAGCAAAGCATCTTTACATTTGGGAAGTGTTAATGTGCCATATAAACATTTTGCCTTCCAAAGCCACCATATATACCAGAATGTCAAAAGCAATTATTGTAATGTGCACAGAAACACGCAGACACACACAGACAGAATATTCTGCAGTGAATTTTCAGTGAGTATAACCACTGTCCTGAGAGATCCAGGACAAGGGGAGATTCCCTTCCACAAATTCTCCCTGCCCATGGCAGGGGTTGGGAACTAGATCACCTTCAAGGTCCCTTTCAACCCAAACCATTCTGTGATTCCATGAAATAGATTGCTGTTTTAAATGAGAAAATATAAGAAAGAACTTAGCTTTTTTAGCCAGAGGTTTAAAAATCATAATAACTGCTTTTGTTTGATTTTGGTTTTATGTTACAGGCTGATGGGAAGGGCATGAAGAAGAGGGAAATACATGTAATTTCAGCATGAGAGCTACATAAATGACATTGCACAAATGGTCTCCTACTGCCCAACTCCCATCCTGAGAGAGCTGAGCTGTCACCCACAGGAAGGAATGCACAAAATAGTAAATTCTGCAGCACAAGAACTATCAGCTCTGTGACTTATCGCCTTCCTCCAGGGCAGCTGGGGTCAGGGTAAGTGCAAGTAAGCAAGCAATGCTGCTGAACTTCAGGGCTGGAACAACTCTTCCAAAGGTTATCCTCCAGCAGCTGGTACCTTCCCTCCTGGGCTACAGAAGAGCTGTGGCATTTGATCACATAAATGACCACGCTGCCATGCAAATGCAATGTTAAAGCCAAGAACAAGAGCTAGAAAATAAAACCCAGCCCTGTCCAGCCAGCTCAGCATGGTCTTTGTACAGATGGGGAAGAGAAATGGACACATAAAGCTGCAGAAAAACTTAAAAAGAAAAAAAAGGAATGTTTAAGAAGAAATTGTCCTAATTAATAGTAATAGAACAACATATAGAAGAAAAAACCTTGCTTGCTGGACCTCTGTAAAAGCCTAGTCTCTTATTTATTTGTGATACAAGACAAAGGGACAAACACAACCCTACACAGTCAGAACAAGGCTTGTTCTTTGCTCCATTCCTTTGCCACTTTAGCCTGCTCTGGCATTTCCAGCTGTGCTACCTGGCAGAAGGGAGCAGGAAAAGGGTCATGACTCCTGTTAATTACAGGGCAACCAGCTCCACATACAGAGTTTGGGATCGTCAGGCAAACAGAGGAAAGCCACAAGTACAAGCATTCTCATTATTTTCACAGGTCAGATTTCTCACTGGCTGTAAGCAATTAGAAAATAACTCTGAAGAAACACATCTAAGTAATGATGCAGAACTTGGTTTTTCCAGTGAATCTGAGAGGGAATAAAAAATCTGCCTTGTATGGCAGGGCTAAGCAATACCTCTGGAGTTACAGATGGTATTGCACAAATGATGAGCAGCGATGGATGAGCCTGGATTCCTGCAGAGGCTGCACTTAGTCATCTACAAAAAGGCCCTTTGCATCAGCACCAGAAGTTAGTGGTCAGATCTTCCACTTCCTGTTTCCCAAAGTGGCTCAGGAGCCTTCCCTAAGCCCTGGTCCCTAACGAGGCAGGGGCAGGCAGGAGCAGCAGCTCCCAGTGCTGGCACTGACTCTGTCACCAGAACACAGGGAACCGAGCATTGTGTTATGCACAAAGAAAAAGACATTTTCTTTATTGTCTCAGGGCATTTATTATTTTATCAAGCTGAAAAACAATGCCCATTTTCACCAGGACAAAAATTGACAAATGCATTATTCCCCCATTCATTGCCTCAAAGCTGGAGTGAGTTAAAGCGTGCTTGAAAGAAATCCTCTTAAGCCCTTATGACCTGCTATTTTTACTGTTAAATTTCAAGCAATTAACATGCCTGTTCCTTAAAGGCAAATGAGGAGCAAAACACTGTCTGCATGCCCAGGGGCACGTCCCTTAAGCACAGACATGCAGGAAAGCAGTGTGGCCTCTATCAAATCCACCTGGCACATGGAAAAGCCTACTGCAAATGTTCACTATAAACTCATAAATGCACTGTAATTCTCATTGGAAGATGTGTTTAGAACCTACAAGTGTGGCTCATCTTACCCCACCAGAAGTTTTTGGCTATGATACTAATGATGATTATTAACTAGGAACACCAAGATTCTTTCTTAAAAGTACCCAAACTAACAAAAAGCACACTTGTATTCTAGTAAACAATAAGCCCAAAGAACAACAACAAAAAGAAGACAGTTATAATCTGGTTTTGCTGCCTTGACATTGATGCAGAAAAAAAAGACTTTGCAGCTTATTGGAGATTTTTAGTAATCTGACAGATATGCTCCTATAGAATGATATGAGAGAATGATAAATGAGTGAAGGAATGATAATGATTTGAGGTTTGTGGGTGTCATTGCATACTTTTTTCCTTTTTGTTTTTTGCAAAGAAACTGGTGACATAGTGGTTTTCACAAAAAGAGATGAAGATTTCAGAAATCTGAGCACCAACAACATTTTGTGGCATACCTTGACAGTGAAATTGGAAGAAGGGCTTCTCCACTCTACTGCACATGATTTTAAAAGCTGCATCAATCTAGCAACTTTTAGGGGGCCAAGTCAAAATACTGGCAGAAGCAAGAATGAATTACAAGCAACCAGACCTTCAAGGCACAGGTGTTTCCTCTGCCTTACCACATGGGTCTTGCTAATCCCCTCCCATGCCACGGGGAGGTTTTTCCGCTGCCCTGAAACACGCTGTGGAAAACAGGATTCAGCACGGAGTGGCTGGAGCAGAAAAGCACATGCAGTGCATTCTCATGACCTGCCACAGCCTGTGGAAATCACTGTGTGCACCAGAGCGTGAAGAATGACTGAAATATTTCATGCCCACACTGCTGCTGCTCAGCTCTCCTGTGCTTCAGCAATGGGTAAGGAATGCCTGCGACCTGAGTGCTGCTGTCATAGAAGCCACAAACACTGTGGAGCTATATCTAAGGGGAAAAATTTACAAAAGACATTTTTCCACAGTTTTTCGGTCATATTCCTGTTTTCAGATGAAACTTCTGGGTATTTCTGCCTAAACCACCTTTGCTGATATTGGAAAGTATCTTTCCTCATATGACACGATCTTAATAGGAAGAAAACCCCTCGGGGTCCATTGGGAATTAGGTTGCCAAATGTTTTAGGATTGCTGGAAAGTACAGAGGAGAAATATAAATAGGTTAAAACACAAGAAGAATAATGTTTGCTCACTCAGGCTTTCAGCACACACCAGGGACAACAACTCTAAAAGGGAGGAGAGGAAAAGGAGAGCACAAGCAAACCTTGACTAGCTGCCAGTCAAAAACCAGCTGCACTCACACTGACCATGAAAAAATCCCTGAAACCTTCCTGCTTCCCCACAGCAGCACCAGAGCAGGGACATCCCATCTCCCCCACAGTGTCCCACAGGTTACCTGTGGCATCAAATACAATGGGCTGGCAGTTCCTGTTGGAGTTCCAGTTACATTTGAGCACCTGCCCTCCCTCTATGATGTTGTGCTGGGTAGTGTTGGCTTTTGGAGCTCCCACCAGAAGATATGTCCTGCAGGAAAAAGAAGAAGCAAAACAAAGGTTTCAACACCTAAGGCACAGCTGTTATAACTTTATGACATCTCAAGAGTTAATAAAGCAGAAGTCTTGCCTTCTCTGATCTAAATCCAACTCGAACTACTCTCAGTTACAGAGAAATTCACATGAGGTTCTCTTTTCTGTTTGCAAAAGCATGCAAAAAAAGCCAACCATCCATTTACCAAAAAAAGAGAGAAAAAAGATATGACAAATTTAAAGTATCCAGGCCTCTTTAGGATTATATTGTAAATGAGAGAAACACCTTTCATATTATTTTTTCCTTTCAAAAATATGTATGTGTACAGCAGAACAGGAAATTGTGTACTTCTGTACCTTACGAAAGCCATCAGGTGGCATAATTTCTGTTAATTTTGTGAGTAAGGGTAATTCGAGGAAGTCAGTCAGAAATGGAAACAATGTATAAACAAAGCAGCAGCGCTCGGGGAGCTCAGCATGTACCGACCGTGATGAGTCAGCCCTGCCTGAGCAAGTGCTCTTGTGAAAACAATCTCCAAGCGCCAGCCACTCCGAGCCACAGATCTGCATGTTAATGAATCCTTACCCACACTCACTGCACAGTCATCATTTTCTCATTAGCATCTGCTGTGCCTCTCTGCATCTCTGCTTCTACAGACACTTGTTGGGTGCACCCCGAGCAGGAACTGCCTCCACACTGTTCCTGCACAGGTGGCAAAATTCAGAAGTGTCAGAGTAAGAAACAGACTGAACAAGGCTCTTGGCGTCTGCCAGGAGCCCCAGCACCTCTGAGACCCACTTCACTCATCAGCACTGGACTGAGAAAGCCAGTGTGAAGCGTGAAGTCATGCTCAGAAGACAAAATCAAGTGCTTCCTTTCATCAGAATCAGTCTGCTCTGTCTCTTCCCTTTGGAGTGCTTAAGAGGCAATGCAGCCTGCAGGAGCAAGTCTTGTCAGGCAGTACAGTTCTCTAGCTTGGAAAATGGGTATTAGCTGAACAAGCTGCAGGACTGGTTGGAGAGAATGTCTACAGGCAGGCAAATCCAGGCTTATCAAACTTGCTCTGGTTTTCAGAGTCATCTCCAGGCTCCTTTTTAGTAAAGAGATAAGCATAGGTATAAACATGCAGCACCTTGCATGAAGACCTACCAGTTTTCAACCTGTGTGAATTTTCAGAACCTTAAAAATGTCCTGGCATGGACCCTGATAGAAAATCCAGGCTAACTGGCAATCCATTTGTTTTCCTTAGTTGCCATCCTCAGACTGTCTAGATTTTTAGAAAATGAATCTGAAACACTTTAATCAACATAAAATCAGCTCTCTGGGCAGAACAGAAATGCTTAAAAATGAACATTATAATGCCAAGAAACATATAAATTATTATAATTGCAGTCTATTAAACAAGTGGTAGCTTACCTCCCATTTTACTCCTGTACCACTGACTTTTGAGAAGTCCCCCACCCCAAATGAAGCACTTGTTTAAAAGATTTATTAGTTCCCATTCTAATTATATATTTTAAATTTTTCTTAAGCTAATATTTGTGATGAAGTTTATTAAAAATATTATAAATAAAGGAACCCTTATGTGGTTCCACAAAGGTCTTTTCCCCAAATAAAAAAATGCATTTTCACCATCAGAGACCAAGCAAGCAGATTTTGTCACAGCTCTTGTAATAGTATGCAAATTACCTAAATACTTAGAAGTCTCTAATCCACATACTTTGGGAAAGAGGGAATAGAGGGACAATTGTATTTCCATGGGAATACACCAGCAATGCTTCGACACTGCCAATTTCCTGAATCATGTTCCTGATCCATCCATCCCATCCTAATGCTGGGGCAACACTAGGAGCGTTCTGGCACCTCTGGTGTGCCTTTCCAGGGCTTTCCATGGAAAACAAAGAAACTGGGGCTTCCACGGAGGTGCATCCTGGACTATCAAGGGCAGCTCCTCTGAAGCAGGGGGTGTGTGAGAAACCTATGACAGCTGTGCCCACTGTCAGGCACCCTGACACAACACCACCACTTCCACTCCTGGAATGGGATTTTCATCCTGGACTTCTAAATATGCTTTAGTTTGGCATCCAGCAGGTCAAAATAGACTGTGAAACAGCAGCTTGAGCGTTCAGGAACTAACAGCATGCCTTTGTTGTCAGGCTGGGCAATCCAAATAGCTTTAGCCCAACAAAACTGACTTAATAATCTCTGGTACTGATGTATAAAACAGGTGATGAATAAAAGCTCTAAAACAGGTGATGAATAAAAGCTCACCAAAGCAAAAAGAAAGGCATAGAAACCACGTGACACCCCATAAGCCTGGACACAAGTATTTCTGGCTATTTCAGGAGGCAAAATATCAGTGTCCATAGGCATAAACTGAAAATTGGACACCATGAGAGCCTGTTCCTGTGAAAGCTGCAGAGCTACTTGGTTCAATTACGAACTTTAATGTAGAATAAAGTGTTTAGGTTAGCAGGTACAAACAAAATTTTAGTGATGACAAACACAAAAACAAACCAAAAAAACCAAACAAGCAGAGAATTCCCTTTGAAATATACAGAAGCTTTTCATGCTGCCTGACAACCGCACTGTTTTCTTTAACAGCAGTGCGCTTGGAGGTCAATAGTTCTTATAAAAATAATGGAAAGGTTCCAAATAGTGATTTCATGGAGAGCTGTGTCACATAATTCCTTATCAGAAAGCAAGGAAGAAAGTTTATTACATCCATTTACCAGTCTCTTGATAACTCTGCAGCCACACATGCTGACTTAAAAATAAAGGGCGGGACAAAAATAGAAGCTTTTTTTCTTTTAGTACCAAGACTTACAGGATTAAGATAGCAGAGAAAGATGGTGCAACATGTGCAAGTTAAGACAGGATGGCTTCTAATATATGTAGGTAATAAAAAAATGCAAGCAAAGCCAGATGATGTAGTGCAGAAAGTCTTGCTCAATATCTGTACAATTTGCTTATAAAGTTTCACAAGCTAAAGATTAACGGGGCAGAGAGAATATCCCTTCAGCAGGATGAAAGCCAGCAGCTTTTCCAATCTTGCAGCCCTTAAGATGGGAGAGGAGTGGGGGAAAAGCGACAAAAGCTGGATATTACTGTAGCCCGCATTTCAGAGCCAGAGCCTGATTCATTCTGGCAACACCGAGGCTGTGCAGTTAGAGACTCAGTTAGGATTCAAAGGTCTGAAACGCAACAGCGACTACACACTGCCTAATCTTTAACATGAAACGGGAACATATTCAGGAAGCAGACGTGGAGAGTGCTTACATGGAACTTTTCCTTCTCTAGACTCCTCAGCAGTTTGGAGACTCGCACAGACTCACCACAACTCAAACACAGCACTCCCGCAAAGCACACTCAAAGAGCGAACAGCAGATCTTCTGAAACGCCACGGACACAGCTTCAGGAACCAAAATACCATAACTACATCTTTCTACACTGTATTTACCACCACCACCATTTGCACGGGACCAGGCTATGCAGAGAATCCCGCAGCACAAGGTTCCCGTCCCACCGGAGCCGCCGGCCGCTCGGGATCGGCTTTGGCTCCCCGGCCAGGGCGTCCCGGCCGCCGGAGCCGCCCCGGCGGGGCAGGGATGCGGAGCGGTCCCTGCTGGGCACCGCCGGGGACCGGCGCCGGCTCCATCCCCGCTCCGGGGCCTGAGCAAAGCCGCATCCCCTCCGAGAGCCGCCCCGGCCCGCCCGGCACCGGCTCGGCTGCTGAGGGAGCGGGGGCAGCTCCGCATCCTCCGCCCCGCGCCGGGACAGCGCCGCTCCCGGCTCGGGCGCCGCGGGGAGCGGCTCTGCGGGGCTCGGCGGGGCGCACACTTACGAGAAGGGGTCGGGGGCGAAGAAGTCCACGGCGAAGCCGAAGTAGCTGCCCGCCGGGCCCGAGTAGACGGCCGGGCGCTCCACGTCCAGGTTGAAGGCGCTGCCCGGGGCCAGCGCGGCGCCCAGCAGGACCAGCATCACGCCCAGGCGCGCCATGGCCCGGCCGCGCTGCTCCGCGGGCGCGGCTCTGCCGGGACGCGCCGGCCCCGCGCCGAGGGGGCGGAGGGGCCGCGCGTTTCCCGCGGCGGGGCGGGGAGCGCGGCGCAGTCACTTCCCCTTTCTCGCCGGGACGGGGGCGGCAGGAAGGAGAGGCGGCATCATGTGGTGCCGGGGGCGGGCCCTGGCCGCTCCGCGCCCGGGCCGCCGCTCTCTTCCGCCGGGAGCGGCCGGCACCGCCCGGGGCTGGCGCTGCCTGGGCCCGCGGAACTCGCTCCAGGCATCCCACTCTTATCTCTGCCCGAGCTAAAGGCTGGAGCAAGGTCAAGGAAATTGTTTCTTGTGACCGTGGTAAAGCCCTGGCACAGGTTGCTCAGAGAAGTGAGGCTGCCCCATCCCTGGAAGTATTCAGGGATGGGACTTGGAGCAACCTGGGATAGTAGAAGGTGTCCCTGCCCATGGCAGGGGGTGGGATGAGATGGTCTTTAAGGTCCCTTCCAACCCAAACCATTGTACCATCCCATGAAGGACTGCTAGAAATTTGAAGAGGGGGACACGTCCGTGCGTACCAAGTCTGTTTGGTGAAGCCTTTCTGAACAAGTCTTTCAGGAAAGCTGCTAAGCAAACAATGGAGTGCCAGTGTGGACCCAGCCATGGAGGAAGAAAATTCTGATTTTCAAACACACAGACTATTAAATGAAGTCATTTTAAATCCCAGGATCCCAGCTTCTCCCCAGCCACAGGAATGCTGAGCAGCAGGTGCAAGGCTGGGAAGGGGGAACCTGCAAATCCTCCCTGATGGAAATCTCTGTTACTGTTGCACCCCTGCACTGCCCACCTGGGGAAGAACCGCAAGGTGCAGCTCCAATCCCCTCAGCTGCACTTTGTAGCTCTTGTATCATCTCTCACTAATAACATTTTAGCACTGTCATCCTGGCTCGGTCAGCTGTAGCCTCGTCCTCCTCAGCTGATATAAGAGTTCAACATCTGTTGAGTCTCTCAGGTAAAAGAAAACACACTGAACACCTACAAAGAGCAAATAATTCATATTAATTCAAAATATTAATTTCTACAAATTAATATTAATATTTTAATATTAATAGTTAATATATAATAGGACTGGAGTTTACTGCCACCAAAAGTCTAAACTTTTTGCTTTCCTCATTGTGAGCATGATAAAAAGCAACAGAACAAATAATGACATTTCAAGCCCTGAATAAAAGTTAAAAATACCATGTTTACCAAGGGACTGATTTAATCTAATGGGAATCCCAAAAGAAAAATATTTCTACAATAAGCAGAGGAAAACCCAAATAGCCACCAGCTACTCCTGTGTTCCATTCACTTGTTCTTGCTATTAATTATCATTTCTGCAGGAAGCCTCTTAAAAATTCCATCAAGAAGGGGAGTTCCTATACATGAACTTGATACTTGTTGCTAATTTTTCTAACATTGCTGCCTCCTCAACAGGTTAAAAAGAAACCACCCAACCAAACAAACACAACCTCCACATTACTTTTATTGTTATTTACTGACTTATCTCAGAGCTTTTGTACTAGAGACCTGATCAAAGCAAAACTGCAGATGAGTTAATAAGTTTCTAAACTCTAGTAAATAGGGCAATAAACGAAAAGAGTGGTTTATGAGTACTTTGATCAGTAACTTAGGGAAAAGGAGGATTGATTTGCTCTACTTGGTTGCATAACCTTACAAAATCACACAAGCAGTGAAGGATAAGTTATCCGTAAGGCACTAGAATTTTTTTACCAAATTATCAGTTTTGGCTTCCTAGGGACTGTATAACCTCACGACACCACACAAGCAGCAAAGGATAAGTTATCATTAAGATACTACAATTTTTTAACCAAATTACCAGTTTTGGCTTCCTAGGGACTGAGTTACCTCACAACATCACACAAGCAGTGAAGGATAAGTTCTCTTTAAGATACTAGAATTTTTTTACCAAATTATCAATTTTGGCTTCCTAGGGACTGTATAACCTCACAACATCACACAAGCAGTGAAGGATAAGTTCTCTTTAAGATACTAGATTTTTTTTTTTTTTTTTTCTGCCGAATGATCAATTCTGGCTTCCTAGGGACTGGCCGTGCAGCACTTCTTGCTGTCGGAAATTGCAAAGCCAGTCCCTAGGAGCGGCCCAGAGTCAGGGGTACTCATCCCTCATCCCAAAGGCTTTCCTCCCTTTAAGAGGGCTGTTCTTTCGCAGCTGCTCCGTGCCCCTTTGGGCTGCCCAAGGTGAGCTCTCCTCTCGCTGCCCCGAGGCTCCCAGGGCTGAGTCACGGGCTGCGGGCGGCAGCGGCGGCGCTGCTGTCTGGCCCTAATTCACAACACGAGCGGAGTCACCCCGTCTAGACAGCCCCGGAGCCCAGGCACAGCTCCCTGTACGGCATCACAGCCCCCAGCCTCCACGTGGGAAAAGAGAATGAAGTGTACGGGCTTGGGATGCACTTCCAAGCAAAGGCAATCTTACTGGAAATGAGGGAAAGTGCTTTCTGTTACAGGAGAAGCTGAATTATTGATTCCATTGCTCGCATCGAGCAGGATGTATATAGCCCTGGCTGACAGGGTATCTGACAGAGCTGTTGAGGTATCTGTCTGACAGAATCCTGGACAGAGGAGTGAAAGTCAAACCCAGACTTTGCTCTTTATGTAGAGCAGCAAACACCCTCCCAGTGAGGATGTGATTTTCTTTCCTCGTTGGTTTAGTTCTCAGCATGACTAACAAATAGATAAGGGACAGCCAATGAGATCATACTGCAGAATGTAAACAAGTTAATTATGTGTTTCCATATTTACTTGTTACCTGTAGCTTTCAGTTCTCAGGCTAAGATATCCAGTGGTGAAAATCAACAACTGAGAAGTGGGCAGGACTCAGATTCCCTCCAAGCCACCAAACTTTTTGTCTGCATTCAAAACAGCATACAATTATTTTGGAATTGATTGGAGTCTAAAAACTCCAACTCTATCCAACAGATCAAATTCATATTTCTGCTACAAGTTACTGGTCTTGTTAGTTTTAATTCAGAAGAGCTGTTAATGCAGACAAATTAAAATTTGCAAGATGCAAAGCACTTTTGGTAGGCAGGTATTGGTTTTTTGCTATTCCTGAGTGTCCAGCCTGTAACATAGAATATTTCAGAATGCTTCTCCTTTGAGTCTCCACCTCATGACATGAAAGGCAGCAGCAAGAAATGGACAAAGTGCCACAATTCAGTAGAAACTGCAAACGTGCAAACCACTGTGGTCCTACTTCAAAGGGCCAGCAAGGGGTCCTGTATGTAAGGAATAAACTTCAGCCTCTACGTGGATATCTGCAGCAAAGAAAGGATCACCACTCATTTGTTCATCCAGACAACTATTAGTGTCCCAGAAAAGCCTTCATCGATGTGAGAGTTTTAGTAAATATTTTGCTCTTGTGCCACATCCAGACATTTGGACTTTCCAAGAGGCTTAGCTGCTCTGAACAGACCTTTTAAGAAGTCAGTTTCTAACAAGGTAATAGAAAACGAAGTAAAAGATGGACTTCACATAATAGTTTGCTTTGGTCAGTTTCTGCCTTTTTATTTCTATTTTGTTTACTATTAATATCTTTGTTATTCATTGGGAAAAATCAAACATTACATCTGAAAACTGTGGAAGCATTCAGTGGTAAAACACGAGGAAACCACTAGAAATGTTTAGGCTTGATTTGCTGTATTGCTCCTATGAGCAATTCCCACCAGCCAAATCTCACTGGGTTGTTAGAAAAGGCTGTCCTTAGCCCGGGGCTATGGGGCAATGCTTTCACAACAAGGGTATGGCTACATTTGTTAACCCAGCTCCTAGCACCCAGTCTGAGATCTCCCAGATCAAAAGGAAGTGAGCTGTACCAGGTTTTTTTCTGATTTGCTCAATACTGATAGCTGTGTTACTCCAGCCTTAGTCAAAGTCTTTCTGTAATTCCCTTTTCGTGTTTTATAGTGCTCATTACTCACCAGGCCTTTTATTTAAACATTAGGATTTCACAGCGCCTAATTCAGAGACAGCACTGCTTGATTTACCCAAGGATTCATATTTCTTCGGTCTGACAAAGTTGGTCATTATAAATCACATGTGACTCAGTCTTTGCTTCACAAAGCACTTCAGCAGATTACCAAACAAATAAATCCAGATGCTGCTCAGTAACACCCCCAAAGACTTAGATATTTTTAAAAGACATTTTTAAAGAGTACTTCCCCCCTAGGACAAAAACTTTGACAGGAAATAATGCAATGTGGGGAGAAATGGATTAGGAAAAAACCCAAACAACAAGCTCCACAGTATTCTCTGCACCATCTCTCTGAAAATATTTTCATAATATGCATGCATATAGAAGACGTAACAGAGACAAAAAGCTAAGTACCACCCTAGTCTGTTAAGGAAGAGGGTGTGGGAACACACCAGCCCAGAGGAAAAAGCCTGCGAAGTCACCACACCTATCCCAGAAGGAGTGCAGTGCTCTTGGGTAATCACAGTGACAGAGCTCCCAGGAGAAAGCCAGGGAGATATGGGGCTCTTGGGGCTTCTGGTGGGAAAGGTCTCAGGAAAGCCTTCCAGAAGGGGATGGGGAGAATCTGCTAATCTAGAGAGCGTGATGGAACTGGCTTTGTGCTCCTAGAGTGGGAAAAGAGATGAAGCATTGAAATGAACAGGCTGTGCACTTGTCTCACATGGAATATGTGCATTGTGAATGAAAGTTCTATACTTCTGCTTCTCCATTCCCACTGAATTGTCTGACCTGGCACAGCAGCTGTGCAGCCCATGAGATGGAAAGCTCCAGCTTCCATGTGAGTTCCTCCTGCAGTGACTTGTTCCTTTACAGGCCAATTCTATCACCCAAAACTGCACCTGGAGCTGCACTTCTCCCCAATCCACCCTTCTGCCTGTACCCAGCAAAGCTTGTAAACACACAGCAGTCACAATGAGTACAGGAGTGCTAACAGTACACTTGATTAAACAAAGAATCATCTCTCTCATCTCTTCATCACTCTCTCCTCGACTTCTTTCTGCCTTTCCTGGAAGGAAGGTCCATTGCTGGCTGGATGCCATGAAATTTAACTCAATATATCTTTTTACATTC